TGGACCACTTGGTGGGGGCCTTGCTGTATTTGTAGTTGCAGTTGCTGCTGGTGGAGCGCTGGCAAATTTTTGGTTACAGTTGCTGCTGCTGGAGCGCTGGCAAATTTTTGGTTGCAGTTGCTGCTGCTTTGGGTTTTGCAACTGCCTCAACACTTGTTAGCTGCTTCGTTTCTACAAATAAACCCAATTAGTATTACAAATCTACTTACTACTTCAGATACTTAGTATGCAGCCGCTCGTTCAAAATTTATTTTGCTGGTGGTACTCCAGTCGGTGGGGCCACTTGACGCCCTTTGCTCCACTCCAGCTCCAAATGGTTGGAAAACCACTCCAACGAGATTTATGGCAACTTACCGGGGCTTTTAAGGTTGCTTTTGACACTGTTTTGCTTGTATTTACCCACAAGCACAAGGGAAAAATGCGTTTTAGCAACGTTTGCTAATTAGTGGGGTTGTACGTATTTCACGCGTAAAATGAAATAATTTTCGGCGAGAAACGTATTACTTGCGCATTTTCCCAAAAGAAAACACAAAAAAACACGCGTTTTCGCAAAGAGGTCGCTTAAAATTTATTTCTTGGTTATTTTTATTTTAGTTTTTTTTGGGTGCGTTCGGAAACGTCAAATTGGTGGGGAATTCACCAAGGAATGTAATAAAAAACAAAAGTTGGTGGCGGGTTTCACCAATGAATGCAATATAACAAACTTTAAGATATGTTTAATTGCACACGATTCGACGTCTAAAAGAAAATAAAAAACGTGTTAACGGGGGGCGCGATAAAAATTCTCCTTTATGAAAGCAACTTGGCAGTTCATCAAAAAATGTTTATATTTGAAAATTGTTCGAATTCTTCACTTTTATTTTATTTTTAAGCAAATGTGGGTCAACCACGAAAAACTTCAAGCCAATCCGGCTCGAAGGACCATGTTCGGGACGGGGTGAAATGGGGGCCGGGAATTCCTCTTGAATTCCGCGGCAAACGAGGGTCGAGGAGGTGCCGAATCCCTAAAGTCCTTCGAGGTTGAATTAAACCGCAAAAAATTCGCTCAAAAATGAAATGAAACACTTCACACTTTTCACTATTATATGTATATATATATAAGTGCCTAACGGCCACTTTATTATACATATATATGTGTATATAAAAAAATGCTGTAATAAAAATATATACAATGTAGGAGTTTTTAGAGGACCTTACTTGTTTTCTCGGAGTTTTCTTCCAAAAAAGCAGAGTGTTGGGTGATCGCAGAAGGCGAAACCCAACATCCGAGGCGAGTAACAGGACTCGAGAAAAAGGAACTCGAGTAACGAGTAACTCTTCCCGCTTAGATCACAGCGACATCTACAAGTGAAATTCTCTAACCAATAAACATACTTAAGGTGAAGGGGGCTAGCGTAAACACCAATCCTCACCAAACTCTCCTTGCTTAGGGTCTAGCTTAGATCTGTTGAAAATCTTTGAAATCGGGCAATAGCCACGCCCACCTACCATATAACGGTAATTTACAGAAACACGAAAACTGCGACAAATCAGTAACTAGTGCAGCTAACTCACATAAAATCAATAACCACTTAGCAGAAAATTATGTTATACATTTTTGGATAAAGGGCGTAGCGGGGCCACTTATGACCACAAATGTGAATTTCGGTAACCGATTTATAAATTTCCACCAAACTCGGTGCACTTAATAGCCTTAGTACGGAAAAGCAACTCGTTGAAAAATATTCAAATCGGACGAAAATTACACCCGCCTCCCGTATAACGGTAAATTTCAAAAATACGAAAACACCGATATTTCAATAACTGTGGACGCTAATTTACTGCAAGTTGATATTTACTACAATCTGTTAATAATAAATAAGGCTATAGACTTTTTGGTACAAGGTGTATTGCGGTAACCACTTTATCGATATCTACCGAACTTGGTTCAATTATATCCAGCGTTGCCATTTCAGCCGTTTTCCGGCTAGATTTAGCCGGTTTTGATAGCAACTAGCCGGAGAGCCGGCAGCCGATTTGTTAGCCGGTTTGTAAAAAAAAGTTAGCCGTTTTAGCCGATTTTACTATTTGCCTAATTTTCAGGTGCAAAAAGTAAACAAGTTGTTCGAAAGCAATAATGCAGACCCAATGAAGATTTTTAATGAACTCAATGTTTTACTTTCGCATCTATGCTCCCTAGTGGTTATTAGCGCGGACACATTTGATCCTATATGCTCCCCGTTGGAACCATACCTTGCTCCATTTCCTCAGTTTTATCACAGTTTTGAAGAGTATTTAAAAACAAAAGTAAGCACAAACGCTTTTGACCACGAAGCCGAGAAAATAATTCGAGAAAATGGTCGCTATTTTATTATCACTTTAATAAAGGAATTACGCCAACGCCTCCCTACAAATATTGTCACACTAAAAAAAATTGACTTTTTTCGGTTGGAAATGCATTAAGAGTAATTAAACCAAAAGTATTTGTTCAACTACAGCAACAAAAACACAAATATAATGCCGACGAAATAACATCCATAGAGATGCAATGGCAACGGTTAACGTTACATACCTGGAGTAATTTAGACTCAACTGTAAAATTTTGGGCCGAAGTTTATCAATTTCGAAATGCCCTAGGAGAAAACCCTTTTGCTGACCTTTCCAACCTAGTTTTTAGTTTTCTTGTTTTGCCTATAAGTAATGCAGAAGTAGAGCGAATATTTAGTTCAATGAATATAATAAAAACTAAGCAAAGAAATCCAATGTGCGTTAAAACGTTATACGCTATTTTATATATAAGATACGGTTTAAAACGTGAAGAAAAATGCTGCCATAATTTTACTGTAGATGACGATCTCTTAAAATTAATGAATTCAGGTGATATATACAATAGTGATTCATTTGATGATGAGGAATATATACTCGATATAAATTAATGGTGTTAACTAGTCTTTCGTTTCTTGCGATTTATTTAAATAAAGCATGTGAATTTTCACTAAAACATTTTAGCCGTTTTTTGCCAGAGTCTATATGAAATTTCACTAAAACATTTTAGCCGTTTTTAGCCGCTTTTTTTTGCCAATCTAGCCGGTCGGCCCAAAAAGTTCTGGCAACACTGATTATATCATTAAGGCCCTGTTCGCGTACGCACTATCCAGTAAAATCCAGTACTAATTTAACTGGTTTTTACTGGAAGGCGTTTTCGTACGGAAAAACTTGCAAGAAACCAGCAAAAGAGAGAGAATTGAGAGAGCAAAAATGAGAGCTGAACTTACAAGTTTTACTGCATTTTTACTGAATAAATTTTTACTAGTAACTATCCGCTAGTAAGAAAAATAGCTGATGGCATGATGCTTATTGCAATTCACATTACCAAAAGAATTGTTTGTGGTGCTTTTAGTGTTGCAATTGACAAAATAACCCTATTTAAATATATATTAAGATGGGAAATACAATTTTTCTTGGAAAATTGCGACGGAAAAATAAAATTAATCATCTGTCCATAAAACTTGCAACTTCTTGCTGGTTTTGCGTTTTCGTACATTCTTGAATGTTTCTCTCATTGGGAGTAAATATTGGCTTATACTATGTCTCCATTGAGAGATTTATCCATTAAGATTTAATAAATCCAGTTGATAAATCACAACCGTCTCCATTACCACAACGAGATATGTTTGACGTTCACATTTTTAAATATTTGACGTTTGCTTATGTATGATTTTATAAATACAGTTGCGGACATTGATATACAGACAGATAAAAGGAAGGTACCAAACGGAATTTCATTATATGAATTCTGAATATTATTGGCTTCTTATTCGTGGTGAATATGTATGTATAATATATAGTTTGGAAAGTGGAAAGAATGGTACCATATTCCGAATCATTTTCCCGAATTTAAGAAAAATTATCAAAACGGTAAAAAACATTTGCGGAAAGAAAGATTTGTGTAGAAATCTCTTATTCATAGGAGGGAACCGAAAATCCAATCGTGGGCCTTGGGCATATCATGAATATGAACTGAGTTCTAGAGGATGTTCGGTGCAATGTTATCGAAGCAGAACCATTACCGAAATTTATAATTATAATATAATTACAAATTTATAAATATTTGTCGCAGCGCGTAAATGACTTATAGAAAGCGGAGCAGAGTCTTCTCCGATATCATGATATTACTATAAAACACTTCTTCTAAATTTTTAGTTTTTAAAATAATATTTTCTTAATTTATTACAACCAAAGTTATGTAAATATGTATTACTAATTTTCCTCCCAATCGAACAAAAGTATAAAAATCCCTAAAAATACGAAAATTCATGTTTTTATTATAGGCTAGATTTCAATGTCCTCAACTGTATACTGAAAACACAAATGTCATTTGATTTATGGCATGTGAATTTGTGGTTGCCACATCCAACAAATTGTACTTATTGATCAATATTATTGAAGATTTGACGAAGATTTAACTTAAATCTACTGCCTTTCGAGATTTAATTTTATATGGTAAATCTCAAAAGGTTTAACGTCAAATCTCGTCAGAGGGCTAAATCTTCATTAAATCTCACAATGGAGACATAGTATTACTCTCCGAAATTTTGTTACTGGCAAGTTACTGGATATTTTTGCTGGAGAATACGAAAACACAACTTAAGTATAACTGAGCATATTATCGAAAACGTTTGAAATCGGGAAAAATACCTCAGTTATTCCTGCAAAGGTACTAGTTTAGAGAAAATTAAAACGAGGATATTTGATATCTTCGCCGGGTATATAAAGTTCGGTTTGGCCCGAACTAATACTTCTTAATTTCTTAATATTTGAAATCTTAAATATTGTGGAAATACCCAGAATCTACTTTTTTTACCTTTTTATATGCATCATTTATGTGTAACGCTTGAGTTTCTTGTTTCATAGGAATGATCAAGCGGCACTGCTATTATTTTGAACATAGCTGTATTTACTTGTAGAAAAACCTATTAAGAAAATGTGAATATGTATATATTAATAAATGTTTTATTTAGGATGTACCAAAAAGTGCTGTTGGTATTCTTAAACAACAAAAAACTACCGAACAACTTCAGTCTCTGGCATCAGATTTAGTCAAAGAACGAAGAGATTTAGAAAACGAACGTAACCGCCAAGATCGAATGGGCACCGCAATTACCCATAACATGCACACCGAATGTCAGGAGTTGCTGAAGCTTTTTGGTGTCCCCTATATTATAGCGCCAATGGAGGCCGAAGCACAGTGTGCCTTCCTAGAATCAGTAAACTTAACGAATGGCACGATTACTGATGACAGTGACATCTGGCTATTCGGAGGTAGAACAGTATATAAGAACTTCTTTGAGCAAAATAAACACGTTTTGAAGTTTGAAGCCGATAAAATTAGACACACCTTTAACTGCGATCGCGAGCAATTGATACAACTAGCTTGCCTTGTAGGCAGTGACTATACAACAGGTAGGAGAATTATATAGTTGCATTTTTCGAATTCCTAAAAAATATATATTTACTGCTGATTTAAGGGATACATGGAATAGGTACTGTTACAGCATTGGAAATCTTAGCAACATTCTCATTGAAATCAAAAAATTCACAAGAATCGTGTACCAGAAATGACACCACAACTGATGCTGTTCTTTCTGCGTTATACCGTTTTCGAGACTGGTTAAAAGTACATAAGAATTTATGCCAGCCTGTTGGTAGCTCCACATGTCTTAAGCTTAGAAAAAAGTTGAATAACATCGAATTAAATGAAGGATTTCCTAGTCCTGCAGTAAGCTTATTAAAAATTTAAAACATTTTACAATAACGTAATATACGTAATAATTAACGTTACGCCCAAATTTTAGGTTGTTGAAGCCTATTTGTTTCCGAAAGTTGATGATAGTAAAGCCGCGTTCCAGTGGGGTTATCCCGATGTTGACTCTTTATACGCTTTTACAAAAAGAGTATTCGGCTGGACAGCAAATAAAACGGATTCAGTACTTAAACCCGTGTTAAAAAGAATGAACGATAAGCAAACGCAAGCTAGTATTCGAAATTATTTTACGATAAAGAGTGCCCTTAAGCCTCGAGAATTAAAGATAAGTAAACGTGTTCAGAAAGCTATCGATACTATGGCTAGTGCGGCAGATACATCTGACATCATCGACATCAAACCTGCAAAACGAAGCCGTCGAACCAAAAAACAAAATGATGCTTCGAAAACACAGCAACAATTGGAGCTGGATTCAAATGGCCCTGATGCAATGACAAATATAGTGGTAGATATTCCAAGCACAAGTGCCTCATGTTTGGCTCACAAAATGAGTAAAAGTACACCGAGACTTCTTGAAACCAAAGAAGTTATCCCACAGCGCGAAAAAGATATTCAGAAGATGCGTCAAAGAAAACAAAAGGCAGCAGCTGTATTAAGAAAATCTAGGGCTCTGGCCTCCATTACTACTGGCATAGAGGAGAGGCGTGCAAATTAATAATCGCTTATTTGTAATACAGATGTTGTTTATTAAATGAATGCGGAAATATTATCTTACTGCTTAATACATAACTGTTGAAGACATGAACTACATACCCACATTCATATGGCATTGCATCCTTTAATTTTTCCAAACATGGCAACATTGGCAATCAACGATTGGCGGCTCAGTTACTAACCACCGAAGCAAGGCTGAGCCACTCGCTCATCAGCCGCCAAAGCAAACGCGTCACATAAACAACCATTGTTTAATAAATTGAATACAGTTTGTGAACTGCGTCTATTATTGTAAATAAACTTATGATACATACTGAAAGTATACCAAGCAGAAACTGTGTCTCATTAATACCCGAAACCTAAACATGGTCCTTCGGCGCCATTCAAACGAGCCGGCACCGAATAAATTTTCGTATTAAATCAATGCTTTGGCGGCCCAAAAGTTTATTTTCTCATTCCGTGCGATTATTAAAGAAACTTGCGTATGTGCAGTGCATAATCAGCGCTTAAGAACAACATAAAAAAAAACAATATTCCCAACTACTCGCAAAATAAAAGTGACAGGAAATCAAAAACAAATCCCAGAATCTATACTGGAAATATATTTGGTGCACCTAAATAAGAAAATAAATTTACAACAAAATATAAACGAAGTCACCAGAGCTGGGTAAATGCAATTACATTACAATTACAATTACATTCCTCAGTAATTGTAATTAGGATTCAATTCCTTTAGTTCACTGCAAAGGAATCGATTACTTTTTCAATTCCTTGAAGTAATTTCAAATGGAATTGTTTTTTTCTTTAATTCCATTACAAGGAATTTCATATTGTAATTGGAATAAATTACGTGCTAGTAATGTAATTTCTTTTATTTCAATTCCTTTGAAAGGAATTGAAAATGTAATTTTTTTTCCAATTCCTTTGAAAGGAATTGAAAATGTAATTGATTTTTTTTCCAATTCCATTCCTCAAAGTAATTTAAAAAGTAATCGAAAAATTTATAAAAAAAAAATTGTTTACTGTTGAATTGCAATAGCTTTGTTAAATTTCCTGCTAGTATTTCATACAAAAAATTATTGCACTTTCACTTAACCCTTGCAAACTTGTTTATTTATCCATCGATTTTCATCGGTAGTAGTGTTTTAACCCGCAAAACAAGCAGAGTTTGGCTAGTCTATACTAATATATATTTTGAAAGGCGTTTTTTTCTGTTCGCAAAGCTCGAGAAAGGCCGTACCGATTTTTTTGAAATTCCGGATTCTACTGCAGGCTTTCCAAGGATGGTTATAGCTAAAAAAAGTTTCGATATAGAAAGGGGGCGTGGCACCTCCCATACAAAACGAATTTTTCAAACTGCATATATTTGTGGTAGAGGACTAGAACTGGGTATGGTGATATCTATATACATATATAAGACCAATTCCATACTCATGGAGAAAAATTTGCATGGTTGGAGAATGGCGTGTGGCACCTCCCATATAAACCGAACTTTTCATATTGCATATTTCTGGAAGTGTTCATGGTAGACTGTAAGCCTTTTTAAAACTCTTTAGTTTGACACCCACATGCCAACATTGCAGTTACTTTATCAATTTAACTGAGTTACAATTTCCAAATATTTCCAACAGTTATCTTTCTCAAACCTTTTTAATTTGATACCCATATTGTAATATTTTATTTATTTTATCAATGTAATTTAGTTAAATTTTCAAACAGATGGCAACCCTCCTCAAACATATTTTCGGCAGTAAGCCTTCTTAAAACTCTTTAGTTTGACACCCACATGGCAATATTTCATTTTTTTTAACAATTTGACTGAGTTTAAATTTTCAAATAGGAGGCCACCCTCGTCAAAAATACTTCCAGCAGTTATCTTTCTTAAACCCTTTTTAACTTAATACCCATATTGTAATAATTCATTGATTTTAAATTAATTAAATTTTAAAATAGGTGGCAACCCACCAAATTTTTGCGATATCATTGGTTCTGGTATTATACCGAATAATAAAAAAAATATTATTCAAATCGGTTCAGCCGTTCTCGGGTTTTGATGACCGTGACATACGAACACAACATTTTTATATATATATAGATATACATAGAAGATGTCCAATGTGTGCTTTCGATTTTAATCTTTGACCACAACAAAAATTCCACATTGTATATTCGTGAATGAACTTTCAGTTTCCCGATTACTTTTACAATTCCTTTGAGTAATTGGAAAAACTAAAGTACTCTTGCAATTCCAGGTAATGGAATTGAAAAAAAATCAATTACATTTTCAATTCCTTTCAAAGGAATTGGAAAAAAAATTACATTACTAGCACGTAATTTATTCCAATTACAATATGAAATTCCTTGTAATGGAATTAAAGAAAAACCCAATTACATTTGAAATTACTTCAAAAAATTGAAAAAGTAATCGATTCCTTTGCTGTGGACGGAAGGAATTGATTCCTAATTACAATTCCTTGTAATCTGTAATTGGGAGTAATTTAATTCCTAAAGGAATCATTACGACCCAGCTCTAGAAGTCACCCACAAAAAAAAACAACAGCACGAATAAACCTAATCTAATAAAGAAAAAAAGCGTTGTAATAGCTGGACAGCAGATCAGCAGCAGAGAGATCGCTTAACAACATCGATACCAACAAGCAGAGGGAGCACCAAACAACAAGACGATAAGTACCCACACCCCTATATATACAGATATATAAGCTTATCAAATGTATATGCATGTACATACGTACATATCTATAGAAGAACAAATCCCATTACACTCATTAGATGTCCGAGCTAACATTCCAAGCCGGTCATTAACCCCAACAGCTGTGTCTCCAGCAACGTGTGTCATCCCTTTGGTACATACAGACATACGTACGCAAATCTGCCGCTCAACATTATTTCCACATATAACGCAGTTTTATAAATATGTAAGTTATAAGTAATAACATAACTTTGGGCTGCTCCAGTAAATACGCTTTGAGACAGTCATCCCGCTCATTTTTGTTTATTTGGATCTCATATTCTTCTGCTATCCCAGCATAATCCAGTTCAATAACTATCAACTGCACTCTCTATGTAGTTGCTAATTTCAACCCCCACATTCGTACATATTTATACATGCATAAACATATGTATATAGAATATTTCTTTTGCGCGCAGTAATTTTTTTGTTTATGCCATTTCCTTTTCATGCGATTACCTCAATCTCACGATCATACGCAACGCATATGCATATACCTACATATATTCGGCATATACATAAATACCCACCTACCCTCTCGCTATCCCATTGCAGCATAATTTCCGTTTGACTTATTACACCAAATTTGCAAGCGTACAAATAGACATACGCATATACACACAAGAGCTCAACAGTGTGTTTGTTAAAGCCAAAAGCCTTCAACAGTTGGGAAACACTGTCTTGCTTTTCGGCTCTGTGGTATGCTGCAAAGAGACAAACTACCGAAAAGCAACCGGTGTTTCCGTTACGATATTGTATGCTTATATAAGTATGTAACTCAGATTTTTGAGGGCAGTTTAGTTGATCAGTTACGTTGACATCAGTCATTCGCGCTTCAGACCGTTCTACCTAGGCAGCAGCAACCTACGCACTTTGATGTACTTTCTTGTAACCGCCCTGAGAATAAAGTAAAATTAGTCTTTTTACTAATATAACCGTTTTACGTCTTTTATTCCTACCTTTTATAAACGTCATATTTGTTGCGAGTTTGCACCGGCGTACAAAGGAGGGTTGCCACTCAGAGATTTGGTCCAACGAGCCGTCGAACTCTGTCAACAAGCAATTTTATCATCCACATATGTATTTCCTTTTTTACATACATCAAATCAAAGTGCGTGTGAAATATTGGTTGAGCAAGTAGTGATTTCAATAAAATAGTGAGAAAAAAACCAGAGTAAATAGTGCGTCAAAAGTCGATATTTATTTCACGAGTGCTTAGGGCTGATTATTCGGGCGTTTTTAAAAATATCTGTAAAACCTAATTTATATATAAAAAGGTATGTGTAAGGGAAATTACTACACAAAGTGAAAAAGAAAATAGCACGGACGTATGTATGCACGAGAACAGAAAACTGGAGAGTGGAAGCTTTCATTTACAAAAAGTGAGTTTTTTCGTAATTCGTCTGAATATTTGTTTCCCATATACTCTCATGACATTCAACTTTCATTTCTTATTTAAATTCAAAAGTGATTATTTCCGAGTTATACAATTTTTGAAGTTATCTAAATTCCCCGCCAATTTCACTTTCTTCAATATATGATTTTGTACATATATGTATGTATGTATAGATGTAGTAATATTACCAATTTGTTCTCACAAAACATTTTTTGGTATTAGTATAGTTTTTAGCTCTTTTGTGCTCATGTACATAATACGTACGTACATAAGTACATATGTGCAATACATAAATAACTAGATAATTGCTCATAAATAGCATACGAGAACGTACATACTTCCAATTTATTCCAGTCTCTCATTATTTTGTTTCGCACATACATATTAACTTACATACCCGAGCTAAGGTCTTGCACTCGACATTGGATGATCTTCAAATTTGATCAGGTAGAAAATATATGAAAGTGCGCAAGCATATGCATATGTGTGTTTATGTGTATTTACAATATTGAATATAAGTACATCCCAGTAGAACTTGGGAGCATCGTACGATTGCTCGGTGAGTACTCCCTTGGGAGTATACGAATACTCCCCATTGCTCCCTATGCTTCTGTGTATAAGCATGTAATTTTGTATACTACCTTTAACATTGGATGTCCTAGGAGGGGGAGTAATCCCTTTTACCTCCTAAACGAGCAATCGGGGAGCACACACAGAATTATCATCCCACAAACCTTCTAATGGAGCTATACGGGAGTACTCCCATAGTTACCTCCCAGAAACCTCCCAAAAAGACAACAAGGGAGTGCACATAGAAAACATCCCATATACCTCCCGAACGAGCAATAAGAGAGTGCTCCCATTAGAGGCATCCCGAAAGCCTCCTATAGGAGTAATAAGAGAGAAATGATAACGAACATTTTAAATTAGCCAAATAGATTTTGCTATTTATTAACCCGGGGGTTCTTAAATGCAAACACTAATTTGCGCAATCTGAAAGGTATTTAACGGTATATTTGTAAGTAATACAATGCTTAAAATATTTAAACAAAAGTTGAGGTACATACCAACGGACTTTTATTAAAATCTGTGTGCTATCCAAATTAGATTATTGTGTCCTCCTTATGCGCCTATAAGAAATATTTTCTGTTGTTTTTTTTTTCTATGATAAATTTTTTCGAAAACACAAAATTTCTTTTGAACGAGGTGCGTATTGCTCTCCTATCAATCAAAAAGAAGACTCTTGGATTTCTCGCTTAGGAGACATCACTTTTTAATCCTAAACGAGTAATAACGGAGTACAAAACCAACAAATCTCGCTTATTGCTCCCAAATCATGCATCAGAGAGCATTCTTTAATTGCTCGCTTAGGATATCTCTCATTACGCCCCTAAGCGAGCAATAAAGGAGGACAAAACCGACAAATCTCGTTTATTGCTCCCAAATCATGCCTCGGGGAGTATTATTTCGTCGCTCGCTTAGGAGATCTCCTATTTGATTCCTAAACGAGTAATAAAGGAGTACAAAACCGACAAATCTCTCTTATTGCTCAGAAATCAGGTTAAGGGGAGTACTCTTTTATTCCTCACATAGGGAGATCTCCCTTCAGGTTCTAGTGGGATATTACATATCAACATTTGTTCAATTTTTTATGTGCCTTTTTCGTGGTCGTTGACCTAATACAAAACTGACCTACCTCAATAGTCTCAGTACATGCATCTATTAAATTTTGCCTTTACATACATTGCTTGCATTTATCATACAAATATACGTGTACATACATACGTATTGGATCCTTGTTTGTACAACACTTGCAGCGAACCAAGTAGGCAATTAAAATAAAATATTTAATCTCGTGCGCATAATTAAGCAAATAAATTAAATACTTATATTTATTGGTGAAATTACTTAATTTCAGTTATTCGTAATTTTTTCCTCTGAAATCATTCTTCACTATTTGTTCCGCGGAATACTGCCATTTTCTAGGAACCGTTATTCAAATAAATTTTTTGATTACTGAGCTTGTAAGTTCGTAGTTTGTTGCGGAAAGAACAGAAATGAAAATGTCAGCTTTGAATTTATTCACTAGGTGTTCGGATCAAGTCGTTGAATTTAATGCGAACTTCGACGC